AACACAGCCAGACTGACAGACAAGAGCCAGAAAGCTGTGTCCCTTGACCTCCTTTCTGCAGTCCCCTTCCTGCAGGACATGCATAGTCTGGCTCCCATCGCACTTGCCAGTCTTGTTACTTGTTGAATTAGTCCATTTTCACACTGCTGATAAAGACATACCCAAGACTGGACAATTTACAAAAGAAAGAAGTTTAATGGACTCACAGTATCACGTGGCTGGGGAGGCCTCCCAAACATGGTGGAAAGTGAAAGGCATGTCTCACAGGGCAGCAGACAAGAGAAGAGGACTTGTGCAGGGAAACTCCCCTTTATAAAATCATCAGCTATTGTGAGACTTATTCACCACCATGAGAACAGCATAGGAAACCCATCCCCATGATTCAGTTACCTCCCACCAGGTCACTCCCACCACACATAGGAATTGTGGGAGCTACAATTCAAAATGAGATTTGGGTGGGAACACAGCCAAACCATATCACTCATTCCTTTGAGGAAAATCCTTTGTCCCTTTCAAGGCATCTCTCAGTAAATCTAATAAATAAACTTATGTAGACAGACAGGAGGTGGGGAGGGGACATGGAAGCTAATGTTTAATAGTCACAGAGTTTCACTTTTGCAAGATGAAGAAAGTTCAATGGAGGAATGCTTGTGATAAGAGCACAACCATGCGAGTGTACTTAATACCATCCAATTGTGCTCTTGAAAACAGTTAAGATGATCACCGGGCACGGTGGCTCACACCTGTAATCCCAGCACTTTGGGAGGCTGAGGCAGGCATATCATGAGGTCAGGAGATCAAGACCATCCTGGCTAACACAGTGAAACCCCATCTCTACTAAAAATATAAAAAAATTAGCCAGGCATGGTGGCATGCATTGTAGTCCCAGCTACTCAGGAGGCTGAGGCAGGAGAATAGCTTGAACCCGGGAGGCAGAGGTTGTAGGGAGCCAAGATCTCACCACTGCATTCCAGCCTGGGTGACAGAGTAAGACTGTCTCAAAAAAAAAAAAAAATGGTTAAGATGGTGAATTTTATGTTATGTGTATTTTGCCACAATTTTTTAAGTCAATGTGTAGGCAGACTAATAGAAAAAAAATTGATGTTCTGGACATGAAGTCTCAGGATTGAAAGAGTTCTTGGAAAGCTTTTAGACCAAACCCCTCTGCATGCTCAAGCCTTGGGTACAGGATTTCCAAGAAGTGAAACAGTCTCCAGGGGGTGGAACTCATCGCTCAAGGCAGGTTATCTTATCTTTGAATAATTCTGCCTGTTGACTATTGGGATAGTTCTTCAGATGAGCTGAAATTTTCCCCATAGCTTTCTCTATTAAACCCAGTTTCACTTCTGAAGGTCACAAAAACAACCTAAATTTCCTCTCCCATGCAGTATGCATTCAATAAATATTTATTGTGCACATACCTAAGTACCACTATTTGATCTTCTAAATTTTCTCTTTTCCAGTTAAAAATTCAAAAATCTGACAACTATTTCATATATGACATGATTCAGTGTCTCTTCACCTTCTGACTGCTCTTTTGAAATGATCAATATCCTCTTATCATGGGACATCTAGAAATGAAAAAGGGGCCAGGTACAGTGGCTCATCCCTGTAATCCCAGCACCTTGGGAGACCAAGGTGGGAGGGCCACTTGAGAGTAGGAGTTCAAGACCAGCCTAGTCAACATAGTGAGACACGATTTCTTTTCTTTTTTCTTTTTTTTTTTTGAGATGGAGTCTTGCACTGTCACCCGGGCTGGAGTGCAATGGCGTAATCTTGGCTCACTGCAACCTCTGCCTTCCAGGTTCAAGTGATTCTCCTGCCTCAGCCTCAAGAGTAGCTGGGATTACAGGTGCCTGCCACCATGCCCGGCTAATATTTTGTATTTTTAGTAGAGATGGAGTTTCACTATGTTGGTCAGGCCAGCCTTGAACTCCTGACCTTGTGATCCACCCGCCTCAGCCTCCCAAACTGCTGGGATTACAGGCGTGAGCCACCACACCCAGCCCCAGCAAGACACCATTTCTCCAAAAAGCTTAAAAATTAGTTGGACATGGTAGTATGTGCCTCTAGTCCCAACCTCTCCCCTGAGAGTCAGGATTGCTTGAGCCCAGAAGTTAGGGGTTCCAATGAGCCATGATCATACCATGGCACTACTGCCTGCGTGACAGAGCAAGACCCTGTTTTAAAAAATAAAATAAAATGTTTTCAGAAATAAAAATATTACAATAACCAATAGCTCCAAATTATTTCATCAAAAATGGAGGATTCTAATGGGATTTCCAGGCCCACAGGAGGACAGTGCCATGGTAGGCTGGTGAGAAAGACACTGGAAGGCCATGCTGACATATCATAAGGAGGGCTAAATTTTTCTTTCAGGTGCAAGACAAAAAAATAGCGTAAACTCACCCTTAAGTCTTAAGGATAGATACAAGATCCAGTCAGTTTTCCATCTTAGCTCTAATTTATTCTGTCTCATCAGAACCACATAAACCATCACCCCACTTTCCTTGGAGTTCAATGCTTTATTCCATGCAGTGCAGCACAGGACTGCATCTTGCTACTACATAAATACACATAATGTATGATTTCCTCCTTCAACTCTGGAACCTAAACAAATGGAATGTGTTCCCCCAATTCCATAAAACCATAATTCTGTTGAGTGGCCCTGGCACTCCTAAAGAATTTCTTTCTAAATATAGAGAGGTATTCCTCTGCAGAAAAAATATCCCAGCATCTTGGTTCTAATATATAATTAACTCCCCTCTAGATACTTTGCAGTTACGTTTTATGGCTTATTTTGAGTGTTCATATTTTATCAGAAAATTATAATTTTCCTCTAAATAGGAGTTTTTACCAGGCTTTTGAATTCTGATGACTGGCTTCATGTTTCAGCTATAATTAAAACAGTGAAAAGAAATAGCGTCACCATGTATCACACGTGGTTCTGAGACTGCTTGGTCACCCAACCCCCTGTCTCCCCATGCTCTGCAACCTACAGGCAGGGGATACTCTGGCCAATGGTAGGAGCTCCATTTTTCACTGCTTAGTGAGACAACTGGTTTTAGAAAGAAAGAGAATGGCCTGGGAAGAAGGGATGAGGAGACCGAAGTTCTTACCTCAGAGAAGTCTCCTGACCATGTTCCCCACCCATGTCCCTCCTTACCCTATTTTCCCTCCAGGAAAACATACTTTCTCCAAGAAATACACTTTCTCTCCAGGAAAATTCACTTTCCATCTCGTTGTTAGCTTATGAGTTTACTCTCTGCCTCCCCTCTAGACTGCCTACTCCATGAGGGTCAAAGCAAAGACTTTTTCATTCAACATGGTATAGACAACTTCTTGAACCCTGTATGAGTTTACTAGGCTACTATACCAGCTGACCATAGACTGGGGGTTTAAACAATAGAAATTGATTTTCCCACAGTGCTGGAGACCGGAAGCCTGAAGTCAAGGTGTCAGCAGTGTTGGTTTCTCCTGAGGCCTCTCTTTGGCTTGTACATGGCTATCTTCTGCCTGTATCCTCACATGGTCTTCCTTCTGTGTGTGTCTGTGTCCTAATCTCCTCTTCCAAAAAGTACACCAGTCATGTTGGATTAGGGCCCACCCTAATGACCTTATTTTACCTTAATTACCTCTTTTTTTTGAGATGGATTCTCGCTCTGTAGCCCAGGCTGGAGTGCAGTGGCACAATCTCAGCTCACTGCAACCTCTGCCTCCTAGGTTTGAGCAATTCTTCCTGCCTAAGCCTCCCAAGTAGCTGGGATTACAGGTGTGCGATAGCACGCCCGGCTAATTTTTGTATTTTTAGTAGAGGGGGTTTTGCCATGTTGGCCAGACTGGTCTCGAACTCCTGACCTCAGGTGATCTGCTTGCCTCAGCCTCCCAAAGTGCTGGGATTACAGGTGTGAGCTATGGCGCCCAGCCTTAATTATCTCTTTAAAGACCATATCTCCAAATCAGCCATCCCTCAGTATCTTGTGGGATTGGTTCCAGGACCCACCCTTGCTCAGGACACCAGAATCTGTGGATGCTTAAGCTTCCGATATAAAATGGCATAGTATTTGCATATAACCCATGCACATCCTTCTCTATGCTTTAAATCAGCTCTAGATTACTTATAATACCTAATACAATGCCTATGCATCAATTCATTTACATGGATTCAGTGTAGTTCTCTGTACAGGGGAACTTCAAGTTTTGCTTTTCAGAACTTGGTGGAATTTTTTCTGCATGTTTCTGATCCATGACTGGTTGAATCCACAGATGCAGATTGCCCAGATATAGAAGGTCGACTGCACAGTCACATTCTGAGGTTCTTGGGGTCAGGATTTAAACCTATGAAGTTTGGGGTTGGGGAGCCGAATTCAGCCGATAACACAATGTTAGGCTGTCAACTGATGTTTGCTGACTGAGGAAAGAATGAATGACCAATAGAACATTATGGCAGGCATGCTCTTGGAGGCAGCTCTCCTGACACACGCTTCTGAAGGCCTCTCCTTTTTCTGCCTTCCCCCTCCCTCCACCCATACAGCAAGGGCCCAGACGAGTGAGTCTCTCAACTCCGGACACATCCTAACCAATTCAGTCGCACAAAAACCCATGCCATGAAGTTCAGACACGAAACTAATTCCTAGGAAAGGCTAGGCCATCTCCAGGAAGCCTGCTTTGTTTATCTACAGAGAATCCCCTCTCAGTAGGGGATCTGCAGAACACACACACAGAAGTCATTGGGTTGTCTTTACGACAGATGTCTGCACTGTAGTGGGGTACAACTGAGCTTCCAGAGCTTGCCCGTTTGCTCCCTCTGGGCTCCGGCCGTGGATCTTCCTATCATGGCCCGCAAGCCTTTCTATTCTTCCTCTGTATCCTTGCAAGAGAAACCTCCTAACTTGTTGGTCATTGATGTACTTTAACCAGGGTGTTTGTCATGGACCTGTATTGCCACCAAGGTGGCTTTGGCTCCGAGTCCTGACCCTCTGCTTGCTACTTCCCAACAGGCATCGGGTTTGGAGTTCAAGTCCGTAGCCAACAGTGTTCTGTTTTTACGTGACAAAAGGTGGGAAGAGGTCAGAGGTGCCCTGATGTCTGTTTTCAGTCCTGAAAAGCTGAACGAGGTAAGACATGAGGAATTCAAACTTTCTTCTCTTATGGAGCAGATGTCTTCTCTCCAAATCATGATGGAGAGCCAGTTCATGTTGCGTTACTTGCCCAGGTGACACATCAAAAGGCCTTGCCCACTGCGACCTTCAGGCCTCTCTATTATGCACAAATCACCGGACGCTGTGCTGAGTGTCTCATTACTCCAGCCTCCCACATCCCTGGTTGCCATAAATGAATTGTGAATCAACAAGTACACAGGGCATTCGTCTGTGTCCAGAGACAGAGCTGGAGGTGCTTTGGGGACCCCAGGAGAAAACTGTAACAGTGTCTGGAAGATTTTCATGTATAATGGATCACCTGGGGATCTGGCTACAATGCAGACTTTGATTCAGTAGGGCCAGGGCGGCCTGAGAATCTGCATTTACAACACCCTGCCAGATAATTTTGTTGTTTCCAGACAATGAACCACACTTTATGTAGCAAGAAACTAGAGAACAGCATGAAACAAAGGTGGGCTACCAATTGCGTCTTAAAAAGGGAGGTGATGGCAGAGAATGACTGGGGAGGAGTGGGCGATCATGGCAGGAAGGAATACCCAAGTTCACCTCTAGGCCAAGTTCAAGGGAAGGACAGGCTCCACAAGATGCTGCCAGCTCTCTAAGGCCCTGGACACTCTCCTTTCCCTACTCAATGGCCCACTCTTCTCTACCAGCTGTGCACCCAAAACCTGGTGTTTGTATGGCCTCCAGACCAGTTTCTCACACACCTGATCCTGACTGCTGTGTTTCCTATCTCAGCCTGACAGCCCCCTCCATTGCTGGTCTGCCTTTGGTGTTTGCTGGGAGAGAGAACTTGAGCCCTTCTGATGTGAAGTGATCAGGGGGCTTCTTCAGTTCCAGTCTCAGGTACACAGACGTCTCTAGAGCAAGGGAGCTTCCAAAGCTTGGCTGGGGTGCCCTGGGCTTCTGCCATCCACCCTGTCTGGATGTTCCAGAGTAGCCTGTCTTCAGTTCAATAAATGAAAGCTACTTTTAGCTTAAGCTCAAGATGCTCACCCATATGGTCCTGATTGAATTCCTATAAATCTTCTGAAGTCCCCAGAAGAGGAGGGGGTTCCACACCTCATAATATCCAATTAGACTCACTCAGAAACTAATGATCCCTTTCATTTCCAATGAGGTTTTGATTCGCATTTCTATGGGTAGCCGTTGGTGTTTGGGGGCAGAGCCTGTCTCTGTTTGCAGCTGCAGCTCACGCTCACACAGCTCCGTCAGGTTCCAAGGGTTGCCTGTTTAGACTAACACACTGCCTCTTCACCACATTCCTGCAAGATAAATACTATCATCCTTATTATTACAATCACATTTTGCAGAGGAGGAAACTAGGCACGGAGAGATTAAGTAGCGGGCTCCAAGTCTCATAGCTAGTAAGCAGCAGAGCCAAAATTAGAACCCAGCTCCAGTGAGCTCCTCGCATCTCTGTCTCACTGCTTGTTACCTACATGTGATTTTCCAGTGGTGCTCAGAGGCCACCTAGGACTGTCTGGAGGGTGCAGGAAGGGGAAGTGTAGCAAATGGGGCCTCGGTGGAAAGCAGGGGGTGGGTCAGAAGCAACACTTCTCTATTTTCTGCCTAAGTTTGGAACCAACTGAGGTATGGAAACAGGTTTTAGGCAAAGGAAATATAATTTTCTCTTTTCTTAGTGGTAAAGCAGTTTGAAAAATAGAGCCCACATCTGATCACATGGGCTTGCTATGCTAATACTTCACCAGAATGGGACCATTGCAGGAGGGTGGCAGATGCCATCAGGGCTGGCCCATGGCCCACACATGCTCAGTTCTTTCCTCCCAGACTGGCTCTGATACAGTGTAGACAGCAGGAGACAGACAGTGACTCAGATGCAGCCATCAGCAGCTGCGGCCCGCTGGGATCACCTGGGGCAGGCTTTGAAAACTGTTGCTGCCTGGGTCCCACACCTAGAAATTCCGATTCAGTTGGTTTGCTCTGGGATGCAGCCTGGCTTTGAGGACCTTTCTTCAGGCTCCCCAGGTGACTGTATGTAAAGCCAGTATTGGGAACCACTGCCAGTAGAAGTTTGCCACAAGGACACGGGAGGAGGGGGGCACCTGCTTCCACTGCGGCAGTGAGCTCTGCTCACATGGATCTGTGTTATCTATTGAGGATTCACGTGAGAATGTGAAGGAAGGGGCTGCTTCCTAAAGTTAGAAACCACTGCTCTAAACCATCCTGACAAGCTACATGGAGTGTGCCCCTTTACCACATCCACCCACTGAAAGGTTGAGTTAGCCAAGAGAAGGCCAGGGGAAGAGAAGAAAAGTCGCCGAACCTATGGCTGTCGTCACTAATGTGTATATGTCTTTATTCAGAAGCAATGGCTTCCCTGTAGACGTAGAAAGAGCCTCATGTGTTACAAAGAAATTGGTGAAGAGTATCTGAGAAAAGAAGAAAAGAGAAAGAAAGAAAAGTAAGCAAGGAAAGGAAACTAAGGCTTAGCAGTCCTGCGCTATGGTTCTTTGATAGGGGCTTTTATCATGGTCTAGATTCCTTTAACCTCTTACAGGGGATACTCCAGAAAGTGATTCACTGTCGTTTCCCAAGCAAATTCAGCACTCTTGGGGTCCAGTCTTCTCCCTCTAGTCCCGAAATCAAATGCATAGTGCCTGAATTAATTGCAGAAAATAGAGTTCCTCAATATATCCACAGCATTAAGATGCTGAGAGAAGCCAAGCATGGTGGCTCACGCCTGTAATCCCAGCACTTTGGGAGGCGGAGGTGGGAGGACCACCTGAAGTCAGCAGTTTGAGACTAGCCTGACCATCATGGTGAAACCTCATCTTTACTAAAACTACAAAAAGTAGCTGGGAATGGTGGCACACACCTGTAACTCCAGATACTCGGGAGGCAGAGGCAGGAGAATCACTTGAACCCAGGAGGCAGAGGTTGCAGTGAGCCAAGTTCACACCATTACATTCCAGCCCTCATCTCAAAAAAAAAAAAAAAAAAAGATGCCAAGAGGTAAGAGAGATTTCATAGACCCCATTATTTACCATACACTATCAATAAACTTGAAATTCCATTGAAAGGTATTTTTTTCTACCCCATATAGTTCAATTTAGGTTATTGGGTTTCCGTTTGAAAGAATTCCATCCCAATGGCAGGAGTAGTTAACTTTTTCCCCACCTCTGGGGATTTTAGACCTGGCAAGTTGAAATTTACTGGGAGGCCCCTAAGGAGAACCTTCAAGACGAAGATGGCTGTGCAGATGGAGCTCAGGTAGGATGGGGAAGAAAGATGGTCTTCAAAACACAGACACGTACAGCATATGTGTTAGATATGGTACTTGGGGAGAACCATACTTAAGGGAGGAGCAGAGGAGAAACCTATAAAGAAGACTCAGGAAGAGCAGCCTGAAATGGAAACCAGCAGAATGTGGAAGGGAAAAGCATTTCAAAGAGGAAGGAGCAGCCAGAGGTGTTAAATGCTGCTCACATGGAAAGAAACACGAGGATGCAAAAGTGCACAGCAAAGATAATATTTCTGAAATGTGAAACCAATGTACGTCTGTTTCATGCTCCATAGATCGTGTTCCCTGTCATTTTCCCTCACCCACGGAATCACTGGCACCCACTGCTCCTGACGGTGCCTCCAAGTAAGATAGTAGATGCCATCCGGAACAAGGAAGTAGTTGCTCAATTTTCAACTGTACGTTAGCAAGCTTTATTAGGAGAGGAAAGAGTTTTCCAAATCCAAAAGCAGCTTCCCTTTGAAGAGCAGGGGGTTTGAAGCTCTAAGCTAGATGCAGAAGATGACAAGGGGGGCTGCTTCTGGGCTGTGGAAGATGGGTGGAGGGGACAAAATGAGGAGTGTCCTAACTTCTTCCCTAAAACCTCCTGGTTTCTGGATGCTTCCTCAACCTTTAATCTCCCAGCTGCCTTTGTCACTGGTTCTCAAACCTTGTGGGACCAAGGACTACATGAGAATCACCTAGGACCCATGATAAAAATGCATAATTCCAGCCACCCCAAGATTTACAGAATCAGAATTTCTAAGGGTAACTGAGAATTCATGTGCCACGAGGTCCCTAGAGAGACTCTGCTGAGAGCCAGAGTGGAAAGCCTTGGTGCTGTGAGTGTTCCTGCTGGTCCCCTCCCTGACCGTCTCAGACTGACTGCATCTCCAGGCTCAAAGGACCTGGCCTCAGAACCCCCCTCAATGCTTTCTTTTTCTCTGTGGAACTATCACCATCCCATTTTGTTTACCTGTTTATTGTATGTCTCCTTCTGCTAGATGGATGCTTCAGGAGGACAAAGGCTTTTTTCTTTTTTCTTATGTTCTTTATTTTTAACTGCACACACTAGGTACATAATAGACATTCCGGAACAATTAATGAATGGATGGATGAAGAATTGAAGAACCAAGAAGCTTGCTACCTATTCTACCTAAGGATACATGATGAAACTAAGCTAAAAAAAATGAAATGAAAATAATTTTATCAAGAAAAAATTAAGTAAGAGGATATAGCAAGCTGGCTTTTCCTTTAGAGAGTTACAGATATATATACACATTCACAAAGTCACAGACACAAAGAGGAAAATGAGTCATAGAGACAGAAGATAGCTCAGAACTCTGAGCCACAGATAATCGGCTGTGGGTACCTGAGTCCATTTTCCTGGAAATAACTTTGAAATACCACCATTTCTAGTCCTTTCTGAATTTGTAAGTAGCCTTTAGACTTTCGTTATCAAATATCAGAGTTTATTCTTGAAATAAAGGTTTGTTTTCCCTTGGAATTCTGAGACTCTCTCCTTTAGAGCCTTGGCAGCCTAAGTCCCTCTCTACCTGAGTCCTTAAGTATAGTTAATATTCGAAAGCTCTGGATGGTGTTGTCTTCATTTATGTGGATGTTAGGTTGTCTCAGTCAACAATGCTTGAAACTTGCTTTAAAATCAGCGTCATATCAAGAAGCCATATTTGTATTTAAAATGAAATTGTTT